GAAAACTGGAAGTGGTGCTGTGGCTCAAGCGGTAGAGAGCTTGCCTTGAGCCAAGAGCATGGGACAGCGCCCAAGCCCAGAGTTCAAGCCCCACGACTGACCAAAAAAAAAAAATTGTTTGCATGGTCTTAAAGTGTCTTCTCCCAAATTATATACAAAGACAAAAAGAGTAAAGTGATCTCTGCTGTTTTTTTTTTATTATAAGCATGTAATATCACATGCCTTATTACCTGTGGTAAGTTATAGAGCATCATCAGATACTGCCTGGTAGTATGTACTAAGAAGGTTATATTATTTTGTTGCGATTCCTTCCCATAATGTTAATGCAATTGTGACAAAACGGACATATCCTAATTGAGCACTGTTCTGCCAAACAACTGACCAGTACTCCCCAAAAGTGCCAGCTACTCAGCTGTGAACTGGAGATCATGGTTCAAAACCACCCTGGGCTAACTCCTCCTAACCCCATGAAAGCCAGAAGTAAATCTTTGGCTCAAGTGATAGAGCACTGGCCTTGAGCAAAAAAACTCCAGGACAGCACTCAGGACCTGAGTTCAAGCTCCAGGCCCAGCACAAAAGAAAAGAAAAAAAGGAAAGTTCCAGTGTCATGAAAGACATGGGCTGGAGAAACTGTTATAGATTGAAGGGTAGAAGGGGATTCGATAACTAATTCAATATGGGAATGTGGACTAGATCCTAGGACATCACATTAGCAACTATTAATGTTAAGCACTGTTCTAAAGTTACTTAGTTTTGATACTGACTGGTAGGATGGTTGGGTATGCGGGGAACCTGGGTGAAGAAGAACATATGGAGATTCTTTGCTCAACCTCTGTAACTCTAAGCCTAAAATTAGTTCAGAGTCAAAAGGCTTTTTAAAATGTCCTATTTATTCATTTAAGTATTACGAGAACTAGTGAAATATAAAGATCTCCTATCAAGGAAGAGACAGTAAAACACAGATAAAAGGATTTTGGATTAAGGAAAATGAGAAGTTTTCCCCCTGAAGTAGCCATAGTGGGGCCAGAGAATAGAGGTTAGAGTTAATCCTACCTAGGACACAAAGTACTTTACTAATAAGAGCTTCACATACTAACTAAAAAGTGAGCTGGATTTGAAGTACCATGTAAGGGAATGCAGTTGTCAGGACTTGAGATTAACAGAGTGGCAAGAATAAAGGTGAAGGAGCTATCCAAAATAATTCCTAAGTTTCTTATTTAAGAAACTGATTTCCATTTTGGTGAATATTTTCACCACTCAAAGACAGATTTTGTACGGAGGAGGAAGAGGAGAGAAGCAGCTCAGTTTGGGGGAGGGAGGTGGCTGGGGGATGTCCAGGTCATGTCTGGAAGGCAGTTAAATGTAACAGTTTTAAGGAGAGTGCTGTTCTGGAGATAGAACAGCTATGACAGAAATGATGGTTGAAATGGATGGACTGGTCACCCAATAAGTGGATATGAAAGAAGAACAAGTCAAGATGAAGAACGAGAAATCCTAACCATGGCAGAGGAAGAAAGGAGGAGGAAGACAAAGAAGCAAGTGTCAGCAGGTAGACAAGAACCAGGAGAGCACAAAGACCACCTGGCTGTGATGAGATGTTCCGTCACATGCTAGCAGAAGAGGAGGAAGTCTGAACTGACATTGATGATCTTGACAGGAGCTGACCAGCTGTATGGTGGAAGGCACCAGCTGTATGGAAGTCACTAGCTAGCTCTGTGAAGGCAGGCACAATGAATGCCAAATGCTCTTTTGAGAAATTGGGCGAGAAAGAAGGAAGATAGGAATATGGCCAGAGAGGAACTCAAGAGCACAGGGGTCACTCAAAACTCAGTTTCTGGACTGATCCCTTTTGTTGCAAATTGATTCTTTCCATCTGACTGCAGGTTCTGAATGCAAAATATCCAGGCTTAAGATATTGGTTTAAACCTTAAGTTTCCCAAAGCAGCATGATCCTGTAGTGAATCACTCTTTCAACATGAAACACTGAAATCTGAAATAACCTAATCTGATCCGATGTGGTGCTTGACTTGCGACTGCACAGATGTGACACTGGGCTGTTTTGTAACCTTTCCTGGAGGCAAGATTAATCCATGACCACGTTCCATTACTTCATGGCCATGTTCCACCATTTCAAGACAGCTTCAGAGCCTGGTTAGAAACTGCTGGAGGGGCTAACAGCTGCAGACACTGGAAGAGATTCTCAGTGAGGCTCATGGCTTCTCCATATCTATATGGGCCAAAAGCCTTTTCATTTCCTTTCTGCATTCAGCTGGAGTTTACAGCCTTTAAATATTAATACTCATTAATATTGATGTTTGAGTACCAAATCAGTTTAGCTTCCTAGAAATTACTAAATTTTATATTAGCCATTCATTCATTTAATATACATTGATTAAGTGTTAGGAAATCTGACAGTGCTGGAGAAGCCTGGAAAATAAATAAGACATGGCTCTCAACTCTAACAAGGCCTCGTGTACTGACTAACAGCTACAGATAACAATCCTGTTTAAGACAGACTTGTTTATATAAGTCTTGCATATAAAACAATCATGTGCATATACACAATACACATTTATTCAGGTCATATAGCCCTGATCCAAAATGCTTGGGACCAGGAGTGTTTCAGGTATTTTTCAGATTTTAGCTTATGTGCATATAGAGATAGATAGATAGATAGATATCTTAGGCATGAGACTCAAGTCTAAGAACAGAATTCATTTATGGTTCATACTTTTATATGTGTGTGTATGTATGTATGTATCAGTACTGTGCCTTGAATTAAGGGTCAAAATGCTATCCTTTAATTTTTTTTCATCGAGGCTGGTGCTCTGCCACTTCAACCATAACTCCACTTCTGGCTTTTTTGGTGGTTAATTGGAGATAGGATTCTCTTTAAATCTCAGCCTCCTGAGTAACTGGGATTACAAACATGAGCCACCAGTACCTGGCTGGTTTCATATACATATATGGCAGTATTTTGACAATATCTTGAGTGCATATGTCTTGACTGAAACTCACTAGGTTTCAGGTTTTCAGATTAAGGATGTTTGACATGTGTATGTTATATAAATGTATGTTATACATATGTCTAAACATATATATCTAATACATATTATATATTAATATGTATTATATATGTCTAGACATAATTATATGTGTACACATACATATCTATTCCTGTAGCTATATGGGGGGGAGTAAATGTAGAAGAGGACAGACTCTGTGACTGTATTGTACAGGGTATAAAAGGGAGGTATAGGAGATTCAAAGAATAAGTAGTAATGGCGGCCAAAGTAGAAGGAGGAAAAATGGCCTTGGGGACAGAAGGAAGAGCCAAGTATCAAGGTATAAATATACAAGCCCAATATGATAACGTAGTGATGGTGGAGATAAAAATAGTGAAACTAGCAATGACGAAAAATTCCTGTTGGGCATCAGGAATGGTTCTAAGACCATCACGGGTAATACCACATTGGGTGAGCTACACGTGTGAGAGTGGGAGGGCATGTCTTGAATGTGGGGCTAAGGGGTCTAGATGATGTCTGGCAGGAAAGAGCCACGGGAGTTTTAAGTGAGGACTGGCACACGTTGAAATGAGAGGGAAAGGGGAAGAGTTTGGGAATTTTTTCAATAGTTCAGAGAGGAGCAGGTCTGACAAATAAAAATGGCCAAGCAGATGGATCCAGGGGAGACTGTTGAGCTGGAAGCAATGAGCCTTGATGAACTCCTGTTCATGAGGGTGCCTAAACAAGGAATCGGAGAAGGCAGAAAGACACATTTTTGACAGAGTAGCTAAATTCAGTCCCTGGTGCTCCCAGGTGGAGGTGATAATGGGAAGCTAATGATTTGAGTTAGAACTAGCTGGGGAGGTTTGGGTTAGAGAGAGGGAGGGCAGGGAGGGGAAACCCACTTTCATTCGAGCTGAACTTGTCCATCCACATTAAGATTGCCCCTGTATTTTCCTTTCCTACAGGTCACACAGCAACACATTCAACAGCCACACAGGTAATATACTACAACATAGTATACATGCACCTTTGTATAGATGGCGGGAACACACAGCCTAACAGATCCCAGAGGGACACACACATCAAAAGTTTCCTATACAAGTAAATACAACTAAAAAGGCCATGAATGCATGGTTTCTGTATAGGGTGAGTGTGTTTTCCAGCTATACAGTAGAATCTGTTAATTTACCCAGCAGATGACCCCGGAATACCAGGGAAGCTGAGGCCCATCTGGTCAGATTCATTTCATGTTCCAGAGGCTATCAGCAGTCTTCATTGCTCTGCTATCCCAGCCTACCTCCTAGCTAGGACCAAGCTATCATCCACTGCCACCCCCAATGCTACTCTTACCAAAGAGCTTCTGCAGGACTTGTCCATCATATAAGTCTTCAGCCAGGTCTTTCACAATGATTCTTTCTCCAACCAACACATCATTAATCCAGTCAATGAGCACCTTTGGGGAAGAAGGGCTAAGAGTGAGTTGTATTTCTTAGAGACCAGCTTTTTTTTTTATCCTGGACAATTAAAACCTAAATAAACTTCTGATTTCAAAAGCAGCAGTATGATCACAAGACTACTGTACAGATTGTAGCTATGAGTCGGCCCCCAGTGACTCTGCCTTTTCACAGGAGAGCCTGCAAGTGCCGGCAGTACCAGTGTCCCTGCTATCTCTCACGCCCTGGCCATTTCCTCCTGAAGGTAAATAGCACTGTGGGTGGGCATCTTGTTCAGGAAGAGTATGGGCTCTGGCTTTATGTAAATAGGTTGAAATCTCAGTTCCACCCGCTCCCTTTATGTCCAACTGTCATATTTAGGTGTGCATGTGGGCTTGTGTTACTCTAATACCTAGGAATATGTCTCTGCTTCTTTGTGACATATGGTATCATTTATAGACCTGTGTGTGTGCACCATGTCATGTAGGAACTTGTGTGTGTGCATACATGCACACACACTTCTATGGCCTATGAATCTAAGGCAAGCTGGTCCTCTGCTCTGAGTGCCTGGCTCCCTATCTCTAAAACGGAAGATGGCAGTATCTCTCCTAGGTTAGGTGGTTGAAAGAATTACCTGTGTCAAGGACCAAAAACTCAATTAAAGGGAGATCTTATTATATAAAGCGCTGTCCCAGGAGGGCACTTGGCCAGGTGGTTACTTTCATCTATATGCTCAGAAAGGAAGAAAACAACCTAGGATTACAAAGCTTCTGGGCTGCAGATAGCAGTGCTTTGTTGGTCAGTTCAGTCTAAAGCATGTGCTTCTCTCTGTACCCTTCAGGAACAGTCGTCCCTCTCCTGTCTCAGCAACTGTCACTGGCTCATGCTATGTGCATCAGGCACTGATTGGAGATACCAAGCTGACATCCCATGTAATCAACACCCTTGAGAGGCACATATCAGCAGTTCTGTTCAGGTAAGAAGACAAACACATACTGCTGTTCTTTTTTAGCTGTTCCTTTTCATTTATCTATCAAGGTATTATTTATATATAATCAAATTAACTGATTTTAAGTAAACTGATGAGTTCTGGTTACTGTACACAGGTATGTGAACACTCTTCCCTCCCTCCCCCATCCTGAAGACAATCCAGATACAGGATAGTTCTCTTGCCCTAAGAGCGGACAGTGGAGCTTGGGGAAGAGAGGCATCACTGCACATTGTTCTGTGTAAAAGGGAGGATGATAGTAATAATTGAGCACCTATGAGGTCTCAGGCATGTCCTGTAGCCAACGAACAGTAAGACCTAGTCTGTCTTAAGAGAAGCTTGTGGGGGCATATATCTAGTCAATTAAAGGATTATAATATAAAGGGTTTTATATGGAGAATCCATGCGCTACAGGAAAGTGAAGAATGTTCCCCCAGGATGGGAACAGGCAGGAGGCAGCAGGAATGAGTAGAAGATTAGGGGTGGGCTGGGAAGGTGGCTCAGTGGTAGAGTGCTTGCCTTGCATGCACATAAGCAAAAAGAAAAAAGCCGGAAGTGGTGCTGTGGCTCAAGTGGTAGAGTGCTAGCCTTGAGCTGAGGGACAGCGCCCAGGCCCAGAGTTCCAGCCCCACGACCGGACTCCCCCCCCACAAAAAAAAAAAAAAAAGATTAGGGATCTGACTAGGAGCATGTATGTCAAGGTGGCCAAAGTAGCCTACATCTACAAAATCAAACCCTTCTCTGGAAGTGGGAATATATCCTGCAGAAAAAATGCTGTGTCTTTAGATAGCATCCTAGAGTTTGGAAAATAACACATTGCTGTGTGCAGGCCCAAACTTCCTCTCTTACAATCTAGGCCTGAGTATAATATGGGACTGGCAGAGCAGCGCTGAGACCTGTCCCATGCAGAGCCTACTCTGACCATGTCTTGATCTCCTGGGAAGCTGATAACTGTACAGCCCATTTTAGCATGGTTGACTAGACTAGCACAGAATTAGACCCCAGCATCCTTGCCAAAATAGGACCAGCACCCCTGGAAAGGCAGAATCTCAACCCACAGCTTCCCACCATCTGGCACATCAAGGTAAGGGCAGGGCCTGGGCAGTCATCTGTGGGTACAGCACAGATAGAATCAGAAAAGGGCCAGACACTCAACATCCATAGCCCAGCCCCTCCTCTACTGTGGGGCTCAGATCATAGCCCCGAATGTAAGGTCACATGGTCCCCATATCCTTCTGAGAGTTATTTGGACTCTAGAATATGGCACCGATAGGAACGTAAGGCAGGAAAAAGACCAAAGTAACATTTATAACATCTCCTTGGGGTAGACTGCCTTCAGTCCCACATAACATAGTCCAAATCTCAAGTGGCTTCTTCTATTTTTCTACCAAGCACTGGCTGCTTTGACTATGGAGACAGTAAGATTCTACTTTTAAATGGCTTCTAAGATTCCTTCTAATTTTAATAAGTCAACATAGAAGGTTTTTGAAATAGCTACCATATTGATATCCTGTGCCTTATCCTAAGGATATGATGAAAACAAACAAAAAAAATGATAAAAAAAATCCCAAGCAGCTCACCATTTAGTGAAGGAGAGAGAAGTGAATGACAAAACCAAAGACCTGAGGCTACTGCTACACACAGAGGCTGTTGTTTAGAGGAGGCTTCCTGTAGGAAGAGACTGAGCTTTGGCTCTCCTTTGAAGAGCAGCTAGAGGCATTCTAGGTGGCCAGCCAAAGTCTAGGGGCAGTGAGTGCTGGAAATAAGCACAAGTTAGTGGTCATCAGGCAGATGATCTGAGTTTGAAGAAAGAACTACAGCAGACTCCAAATAAAACCCCCAGGAATGTGGGCTTTACTCTACAGCTGACAAGAAATGACAACCAGATTCTGAGCAGGAAAATGATCTGTATGTTTGCATTATGAATGACTTACTTGCCCTTTCTGTTACATGTATCTTGGCGAGGCTGAAGATGAAGGCATAGACCAGGGGAAAGAAGTGAGGAGACATGAACAGTTTTGGAAGGGGCATGATGCACAGTATTTCATTTAATATTTCTGTTTGAATTTCTTCTCTACAAACTGCTTGGTTTTTTTTCTCACTTGGAAAATGGGAGTGATACTAATTCTTGTTTGAGTGTGCTTTTGAGGGATCTTGAGAAAAGTGGTGGAAGACTGGGAATGTGAGAGATCTTGGCCAAGGTGAGCTTACTTGTCCTGACTTTTCTGGTGCTTATGACTAACACCAATCTCCAGGTATGGGTACACGTCTACTCAACCCTGAGCTTCTCAAGGGCAGGGACTGCTGGAACTTTGTTCTCTCTACAGCTCACAGGGTGCCTGCAGAGGATGGGTGGTCTATAGGCACTTGGGGAGCTTGGCGGCTCCTGGAGCCTCTCTTACTCTTTTCTTACCTTCATCAGCTCCTGGAGTTTGGGGTCACTGCGTGAGTTTGGGTCCACCATTGTCCGCACTTCATTCTCCTCTATAAAAAAAGGAAAGGTATTAAGTGGAGAAGCTACACTTGAAGGCACAGAGCTGATCAACAGAGAACAAGTACAGTTACCCAGCATTGTGTCCTCAGGGTCCAGCTCAAAGGGGATGGGGCTGAGGGGCAAGTTGATGGCATTCATTCCCTCCTCCTGCAGCTCCGAGACTGAAAGACAAAGGAGAGCCAGGTCACCTTTTGACAGATGACAGGAGGTTGGAGCTCTGTAACACATACATTCAATATTGACAGAGAGGGGAAAAAAAAGCCCCACAAAGGTTAAATTACAGCTGTTACTCAGCCTGCAATGGATCGATTCATAGCTGCTCCTTGCTAAGAGCACCTAATTGTCCCCTTAATCTCACCTCTTCCTCCTGTCACCTCTTGCACTTTCCTAAGAAATAGGGAGGTCTTGCCCATACAGAAACATGTTTTCTCAGGATTCTGGAATAAACAGGAGTAGAGTAGGCACTGACATCTTTCTGAGGCCTCTGCCCTCCCCCCCGCCATGGGCTGACTGCTTTGTATCTGGAAAAAGGTTGCCAGTTTCGGCCTATGTTTGTATTGTAAACCTCTTCTACATGTGGTTCAACCCCTCTCTCTTGAGCAGCCTTCCTTGAGACAGTCTTCTCAGGATCCACTCTCCTTCCTGTACCCAACCCCCTCAGCTGTAAGAGAATAGCTCAGTCCTAACCTCTTCGTGGGTACTGATGGTGCACTTTGGCTGGAAGGATGAAGAGTCCCATTGGATGACTGTTAAGTTGTCCCTACTTTTCAAATCCTAGAAATCTACAATTCCATTTTCCTCAAGAAGCATTAAAATGGGACAATGACCACTAGAGACTCTCATCCAAGCACTGAACCCCATACACAGAGCTTGGTTACATTTTTTTGTTTTAACCACCAAACCAGTATGCACTGGGCAGTTGGTGCATGCTGACCTTGGATTACCCCTCCTAAAAGCCATGACTTCCAGCCCTTTACTTTTTGCCAATTAAGTACAGAAGGACCATTTTCTCTGAAGGCGTTGGTCACCAAGAGGTTCTTAAGGAGCTAATATGGCAGCTGCAATCAACCTTAATAAAAGCAACAGCCCATCTTTCCTTTTTTTTTTTTTTAAATATTGACTCTGGCCTCTCTGATTGCCAGCACAGACTTGCAAGAACTCTTAAGCAAAAGGCAGCCACTTACAAAGAGTTCTTTCACATCAGCAAACTCACTGATAGTTGCAGTTGGTTAGAGAATGAGTCTGCCTAACAAAGAAACAGACACCACCTTAAAGAGACACAGCCATATTAGGAAGCTGGTGTTTAAGTCCTTTAGCTGGGACACTTGGTATTACCCGTCACCAGCTTGACTCTTCAACTTCACACACATCCACTGTTTGGTAGAATTCCCTTTCATAAAGCATAGCAAGAAAAGAGGTGACTCTTCGAAGCTTTAATGGTCTGGAAATATAAGATTTCTAGCCAAGTGCAATTGCTTCTCTTTTCTCTCTCTCTTTTTTTTGGGGGGGGGTCAGGTCGTGGGGCCTGAACTCTGGGCCTGGGTGCTATCCCTCAGCTCTTCAGCTCAAGGCTAGCACTCTACCACTTGAGACACAGTGCCACTTCCGGCTTTTTCTTTTAATGGTGCTGAGGAATCAAACCCAGGGCCTCAGGCATGCAAGGCAAGCGCTCTACCACTGAGCCACCTTCCCAGCCCTTTTTTCTCTCTCTACTCTTCTGTTTTCTCTCTCCATCCCTCTGGCTTGAACCCAGAGTGTCCCTTAGCTTTTTCTCTCATTGCTAGTGCTCTATTACTTAAGCCCCACTTCCACTTCTAAGTGGCTAACGAGTCTCAAGGACTTTCCTGCCCCAGCTGGCTTTGAACTTCCATCCTCAGATCACAGCCTCTTGAGAAACTAGGATTACAGGCTTGATCCTGACTACAATTTCTTCTTTAGATTTCCACAATTTTTTTCTTATGTCTCCTCTACTATTTTTTCTCTCTTTCATAGGCTTTTTCTTACAAAAAAGCACAATTTTTATTTTGCAACAAACATTGAAGTATATATACTAGGAAGGGGGGAAAACTATGCTTACCTATGGATGCAAGGCTGGGTCTCTTAAAACATGGAAGAAATTTGCTGGGATTTCAACACCTTCATACCTGCCCTAACAGCACAAAAACAAACCCCTTATTTCCCTATTCTTCTCCTCAATAGATGACACCTCTGTTTACACATTGGCTCAAGCCCAAATCCAATGAATCACACCTTTAAGTTCTCCCTTTCCTTCCACTTGTGGAAGTTTTTCAGGCTCTACCTCTCAGCACCATCTTGGTTCAAGCCACTGTTGGTTAGCTTTCATCCTAACTGGCCCACTATCTGCTCTTGCATTTCCCCCACTTGTCACATTGCAACCACAGTATTCTATAAACTGGAAATAGGGTCATTCATTTTCCTATTCTCAATTATGACTTCTCAGCATACTCAGTCAGCCAAGTTAAAGACCCTTTGTTCATCTCCCTGTCATGTTTTATTTTCTTCCTAACATTCAGAATAAATATTAAACAAGAATTATTAAGTATTATCTCATCCTACGCCCCCTTCCCCAACTCCCGCAACTCTGTCTTTTCTTCATTGTTAGATCCCCAAGAGGCAAAACGGTTGCAGTGGTTGGGAGCCAGGCTGCCTAGATTCAAATCCAGGAGCTGCTACTTTCTAGTTGCATGGCTCCAGTGAAAGGCAGTTTCATTCTGCAGATGAGGAAACTGAGGCACCGGAAACTGATAATAATGCCAAACCTCCTACGGTTGTTGGGAAAATTAAATGCATTAGCATATGCATTCAGAAAAGCACCTGATATTTTGTAATACCCACTCAAAAATATGTGTTTAATTATATAATCCAAATCGCAAGACTTAACCCACACAGGTTATATGTAAAAGCAGAATTTGATAATATCCTTTTATGGGACGGAATGGATTTCACCTTGGGAGAGTGGGGAACATCTATGTTTTCGCCTGACCCTGTATGCACATGCGCATTTCTGAAGCAGCATCTCCCAGCTTGCATTCTGTAAAGGAAGAAAGCTTGTACCTGTCCCAGGATCCTTGCATAGCGAGGGCCCATTTGTAAACACAGAGGTATTTAAACATTTCTGAAGTGTGACTAGAAAAGCAATAGTCTCAGCCAGGACTCCTGAAGGTGGGTCTGAATGAGATCTCTCCTTGTAGTATAGATCATTGTGGAAAATGTTTTCAGATGAAAAAATCTGTAGTCAGAAACCTTCCCTCAACCCTGCCTCTTTAATTCACTCACAGAGACATAACAAACCTAAGAAGAAAGGCTGAGATATGTTTGCAATTGGAAATGTTTTTTTCAGGAAACGATTTGGTACAGAAACATCATTCCCATTCCATTAACTGCTGACTCTCAGCCAATTGTTTGTAAAAGTGAATATGCAAACTGCCCAGTTCAGGCCTGGCCCCCTGCCCCACGGGGCCCTATTAGTGGCCACTTTCCCAAAACAGCCCGCCTGCTTTGGAGGTTTCATTTCTATTAAGCCAGAGCAGGGCCCAGCAGAAGCCCCTTGCCAATATCTGTACTCGGGAAAGACAAAGAGCTGCGACTGAATTTTCTCAGCACAGAATCTGAATATGATGTTTATCCCTGAACCTCCTCTAACAATCTGAAACTAGGTCTGAATGTGCAGCCCTCTGTGTCTCACAGTGCCATTAGTCATGACTTGATAAACAGCTTAAATGCCTGGCTGAAGGTCAGACTGCCTGACCGGTGCAGTGCTTACCCCAAGAGTGGGGTCTTTCATTTTCTAGAATCACGATCTGATGCTAGATCCTGTTGTACAGTAGAAAGTCTGTGGATAGATTTTGAAATGTGAAAGCGCTGGATGTGAATCCACTTTTATTTTTATCAGATGTAGGTCTCCTGTGACTCAACTTCCTCTAAAATCATTCTCTTTTAAAAACAAATAGCTGACTCTGCCCGTTACTTCTTCCCTATTCTTTAAGTTTAGCTTTATTTACTTATATATGTTTTGGGGGGGGGCATCTAGACTCACGGTTTTGTGCTTACTAGGCAGGTGCTGGGCCAGTTCAGGAATACTGCCAGCCCTTGGGTGTGGGTGGAAAACCTAAGCCATTCTATTTATGCTTTCCAAATAGCTGGGATCATGCATGTGCTACAATACCCAGATTTTTTATTGATTGAGGAGAAGCTTGTGAATTTTTGCCTGGCCTATTTTTTTTTTTTTTTTTGGTCATGGGACCTGAACTCTGGGCCTGGGCACTGTCCATCAGCTCTTCAGCTCAAGGCTAGAGCTCTACCCTTGAGCCACAGTGCCACTTCTGGCTTTTTCTGCTTATGTGGTGCTGAGGAATCGAACCCAGGGTCTTATGCATGCAAGGCAAGCACTCTACCGCTGAGCCACCTTCCCAGTTGGACCTAGTCTTGAACCTCCATTCTTATCATCTCTGCCTCCTCAGCAGCTAAGATTACAGGTGTGAGCCACTATGCTCGGCTTTAATCTTTTTATTAAAAGAACTTTCACTTGCTTCCAGTATAAACTTCCCTGTCCTGTGTCTCAAGCTGAGATACTAGTTGGTTTAGTCACAATGCTCTTAGTCACGGTAGCAGTGATTGGCTCAAGTACTGTCACATGATACAAACCTAGTTAATGAACTCCGAGAGGAAATTTCTAGGAGCTTCTAAGGAACAGTGTTCCACTATATTAAAGAGAAGCTCAAGCTTGGTGTGCCTGTAACCCTAGGACATTGGCGGAGGCTGAGGGTAGAAGATCTCATGTTCTAGCCAGTCTAGGTGCCACAGTGAACCCCCTGACTCAATAAACAAAAAAAAAAGAAAGGCAAAAGGGGGCAGAAAGAGAAGGCCAAGGCAAAGAGGTATTTTTTCCTAAGAATTCTTGAATCAGGATATTTTGCTTAGCTTTGTGGCTGAAACTTTGAGGTGAGTAGTCCAAGAAGATGTTGATATGCTGAGGTTGATAGAAATAAAGAAAAGGATAGGGCTTGAACTCAGGGCCTGGGGCACTGTTCCTAAACTTTTTTGCTCAAGGCTAGTGCTCTACCACTTTGAGCCACAGCTCCACTTCCAGTTTTCTAGTGGTTAATTGGAGATAAAGAGTTTCATGATCTTTCTTGCCCAAGCTAACTTTGAACCATGATCCTCAGATCTCAATCTCCTGAGTAGCTAGGATTACAGGAGGTTCTTGATACTGGTGAGCTACTTTTGCTCTGTATGTCTAGTTGTAGGAAATAAAAGAAATATAACTTACTAGTTAAGCTAGAAGAACATTTGTTTTCTGGGACTTGAAGCCCAATCTCACTAATCAATACATAGGGACATCAGGATTAAAAAGTTAATTACAGATCTATTCTATTCACCCATTAAGTCCTCCCTCCTTTTTGCCTACTTAGCCTAGGGTATACAGAATACTACAGGATCTCTTACACCCTAGACTATGTCTAGAGACTTTAACACTGTGGGGAAAGTAAGTATGGAGAAAAGAATGAATAAAGACTTAACAAATGAAAAAACAAAGTGTGTATGTGGGGGGGGGGTTCCTATACATACAAGCTCAGTAATTTCTTCATTTAACCAGTAAGCATTATTCCTCTGAAGTAACCTCATATCAGGTTTGGAGACTTGACTCAATCTATTCAGAGAGTGAGTTCATGAACAGGCCCACGCACAAAATAAGCAATACACTGCCCTCAACCTGAA